CCCCAAAAAAAACCTCGAGTTACTTACCTTTCCCTTTGACCCTCTATTCAGCCTGATTTACATCCCGCGGAGGCGGTTCTGCTTCGCTGATCTCCTCTACCCGACCGTAGTTTATTATCAGACTGTGCTCTCTCTGTGAATTCTCACAACTAAAAATAATATGATCACTCAGTCGTAATTTGTCCCAGATGGCCATCCATTGTTGGCAGTTTGATACCTCAGAATTACAAACTTCTATCTGACATTATTGGCCGTTTTGACTTACTACGACCATGAGGTCAGAAATCTAATGTTCTATGTGTTTCATCAAAACGTAAGAATATTCGGAATCAAAATATACGAAGAACTGCATTGAAAAAGCTTGACATGTTACGAAATTCAAAAATTTGACGTCAAATTTCTCAAAACTAGATATTGGGCATTTAGAACGTTGTATTTCTGAGGTAGCGAACTGGCAAAAAGTAGTTGTCTTATACAGGTGGACATCCTACGCAGTATAACAAACAAACAAGAAGCGCAAGGACGGACATGGAAAATGGCCGGGTGTACAGGTGATTGCGCAGGGTTGACTGTACAAGTTGACTTTCCCTTTGAACTTTTATTCAGCCTGATTAGATCCTGCGGAGGCGGTTCTGCTTCACTGATGTCCTCTATCCGTCTACACTCCGTGAATGTTCATAACCAAGAGCATGATATTACAGTCGAACATGCTCTAATGACCACATAGACAATAAGCTGTGCGAACAACCACTTTCCTCTCCCTCCTTGCGATTTCTTTTTCTCCATATCATAATGACGCTGTCCAAAGGGACCGTCTATCTAAGATGACCATTTCACTCCTGGACAATGGGTCGTCATTTTTGGACCGGGCCTACTATACTATAAAATACTTCAGTGTTAAATATACGTTTCCTTTTGGATTTACTTTAACTTTACTTTGGTGTACATAACTGGATCTATGTGTAATCAAAACAAAACTTATGCATATACGTAAAAATGCATTACTCTGACATAATTAAGTTAATTGCTTTACTGGACGCTTCTTTTGAGAAAAAAGACCAAAGGAGCACAAAGCTACAGCTGTCTTTGTTAAGAGAAGTTTTACCTCTCTAGGTTTTCCCCGGCGTTTACTGGGCAGTGAGAGCAGGTGTGAATAGGAGGTCACGTGGTACCAGGGGAGTGTCCTTTAGTGGTCAACACCTTGGGTTATGCTCAAACAGTTTGCGATGTCGTCTACCTTTACATGTATATTATTATGGTTTTTGTCATGGACAGAGAGGATGCACATTTTTGCCTGCTTGAAGACTAGCTATTTTGGAGTAATTTATACAAGAAGCATAATATTAATAACTTGCTTTTTTTTAATAGGCCTACGTATTTTTTCAATTTTGTTTTCTACACCTAAAACTTAAAGAGATTGGCAACAGTATAATATTATGAAATAACAATCAACATTGTCTTTGGTCTTCTGCTGATTGGAAATATCATGTGTCCGCTATCTACTTGAGTACTTAAAAGTGTACAAGTGAAATACTGGGACGTACGAAAAAGTCGTATTTGGAAATTTCTCTTAGAATTATTATTAGCATAATATACAATGTATCAGAATAAAGACTGCAAGTGCAAATTTGCAAGAACACGTCTCTTATATACACATTGGAATACTGTTGTTGTTGTTATTGTTGTTGTTGTTGTTACTGTTGTTGCTGTTGTCGTTGGTGTTGGTGTTGTTGTTATTGTTGTTACTATTTTGTTGTTGTTGTCGTCGACGTTGTGGTGGTTGTTATTGTTGTTGTTATTGTTGTTGTTGTTATTCTTCTTCTTCTTCTTCTT